TTGGGGGTTCTGTCGGTCCTGAAGCAAGACCCAAAAACAAAAGCCGGGCGGAGACCAACCAAAATGACCAAGAAAAAGAGGAAGTTTGAACTTTTGAAGCTTATATCAGGGTTCCCCGACCTGGTGCCCACCAACACCTTTCCTGGCCTCTGTCACATGTTTTTAGAAAGTGGGCAGGGCCAGGTGAGTTTTGCCCAGCAGGGCTTCTGATTGGCCATTGGAAGCTCAGCAGGGCTTCTGATTGGCCATTGGAAATCTGTTGAAGAATTAATGTTAGAGTTATGCACAACTTCCCTCCCTGACATTTTGTAGTTGGCTCCACCTCTCGTGGCAGCCATTTTGTAGTTGGCTCCACCTCTCGTGGCAGCCATTTTGTAGTCAGCTCCACCTCTTGTGGCAGCCATTTTGTAGTCGGCTCCACCTCTCGTGGCAGCCATTTTGTGATTGTGCCTACCACCCTGTGTCAGAATTCCAAAGGTGCCTGTAGGCTCAAAAAAAGGTTGTTGGCCCTCGGCTTATACTGCGGAAACCTTGTCGGTCTTTAAGGTGCTCCTGGATTCGAACCCAGCTCTTCTGCCGCAGACGAAAATGGCTGCCCGCCTGAAAAACAGTGGGCAAGCTTTAGAGTTCTCTAGGACTGTTCTTCAGACTGGGTGTTTAAAAAACAAACCAAAAAGAAAGGGGGAGGGAGGGAGAAGAGGGCGTGCCGAAGATGCATTTAATGTACTTGTGATTTTGGGGTTACAGGATGCTTTCTTGGGGAAGTTTGCCTCCTGACTCCCTACCGGTTTGCCCCCTGCAGGTTAGGAACAATGTGTATTCTTCCATCCTCGGCCTGCGACCCCTGAACCAGATCTATTACGGCAGCCGTTCTCCTCAGGAGTCACTGAAGGCCTCCGGCTTGACTCAGGTGCTTAATTCCACATATTCTTTCCGTGGCAGCCAAAACTCTCGCCAGCCCACCCATATTATAACTTTGATGTTTTGGTAGTAATGAGGGATGGGGTGGAGCCAGAGCAACTGGGCTTGGGAAAATCCCAGCAGTCATCAGACATTCAGGGAAATCTGAACAGAGAGGAAAGGGGGTACCTGATCAACTGTGGAGTTCTTGAAATAAGTTGAGAGAGAATATGTTGTGGAAGGCTTTCACGGCTGGAGTTCATTAGTTGCTGTAGATTTTCCGGGTTGCGTGGCTGTGGTCTTGGCCTTGTAGGACCGGATGTTTCGCCAGCAGCTGTGACTGGCATCCTCAGAGGTATAACACAGAAAGATGAAGTACTCTCTGTGTCAAGGTGAGAAGAAACATGGTAGGCAGGTGATTTAGATCTACTGCTTGGCCGACCTGAAAAATAGCCTAACTCAAAAAGGACACAGTATTTTGTTCCAAGACACTGAAAGGCTGGACAACACATCCAATTACCATGTCAGATTACACAGGGAAGCCATTGAAATTCATAAGCATAAACACGATTTCAACAGGGAAGAAGAGAGTTTAAAAATAAATAGGGCCTGATTTCCTGTCCTGAAAAACACACAAGGCTCTACAACTGACAATAGCACTACAGATAAGAGTAGAATCCACATGCAAAAGAACCTCCTCAGGAAATCTTCTCAGGAAACAATCCATATACAAAAGAACCTCCTCAGGAAAGCTCCTCCATTAGCATGTTCGCAGCCTGGGGAACTCCTATAAGATAATGACTCAGCCCTACCCCACCTTTCTGATATAAATTACCTGCCTACCATTTTCGTCTCACCTTGACACAGAGAGTCCTCCATCTTTCTGTGTTATACCTCTGAGGATGCCAGTCACGCTACTGGCAAAATGTCAGGTCCTACAATGCCAAGACCATGGCCATACAACTCGGAAAATCTACAACAACTGAGAGCGAGTGCTAAATTTGGAGCAGTCAACTTTCGCTGGGTGTGAGCCAGGTGCGAACATATTTCTGGGCGAAGCTGTGAGCTAAAGAGAGGAGCCCTTGGCCATGTGCAGAATACATTTCCCTCATTCCTAAGAACAGAGCAGTTTCCTCCCCTCCCCAAAGCTAGGCAACTAGCAGACACGGTTTCCAGTCAGCATCTGGACGTGCGTCAAAGGGGTTCTGCAGCTGTCATTTGCTTTAGAAATTAGAAGAAGAAGAGAAGGAGATTGGATTGATACCCCACCCTTCACTACCCGAAGGAGTCTCAGAGTGGTTTACAATCCCCTTTCCCTTCCCTTCCCCTCCCCACAACAAACACCCTGTGAGGCAGGTGGGGCTGAGAGAGCTCTGACAGAAACTGCTCTTTTTCAAACAGCTGTGCCAGAACTACGGCTTGCCCAAGGTCATCCAGCAGCTGCAAGTGGAGGAATAGGGAATCAAACCAGGTTCTCCCAGATTAGAGTCTTTGCACTTAACCACTGCACCAAACTGATTGGATTTATACCCCGCCCTTCACTACCCAAAGGTGTCTCAAAGCGGCTTATAAACTCCTTTCCCTTCCCCTCCCCACAACAGACACCCTGTGAGGTAGGCGGGTCTGAGAGACCTCTTGACAGAAACTGCTCTTTTTCAAGGACAGCTCTGACAGAACTATGGCTTGCCCAAGGTCATCCAGCAGGTGCATGTGGAGGAGTGGGGAATCAAGCCCGATTCTTTAGAGTCTGTCCACTTAACCACTGCACCAAACTGATTGGATTTATACCCCGCCCTTCAACTACCCAAAGGTGTCTCAGACCAGCTTACAATTTCATTTCCTTTCCCCTCCCCACAACAGACACCCTGGGAGGGAGGTGGGGCTGAGAGAGCTCTGACAGAAACTGCTCTTTTTCAAGGACAGATCTGAGAGAACTTGTGACTGGCCCAAGGCAATCCAGCCAGGTGCAAGTGGAGGAGTGGGGAATCAAACCTGGTTCTTTAGAGTCTGTCCACTTAACCACTGCACCAAACTGATTGGATTTATACCCCGCCCTTCAACTACCCAAAGGTGTCTCAGAGTGGCTTACAATCTCCTTTCCCTCCCCCTCCCCACAACAGACACCCTGTGAGGTAGGTGGAGCTGAGAGAGCTCTTGACAGAAATTGCTCTTTTTCAAGAACAGCTCTTATCAGAACTATGGCTTGGCCCAAGGTCATCCAGCCAGGTGCAAGTGGAGGAGTGGGGAGTCAAACCCGGTTCTTCCAGATTAGAGTCCGCGCACTTCACCACGACACCAAACTGGCCTCAGGATCGGACCTTGCAATATCTCCATGATTTTAATGGCTCACGGCCAACGGGTTTTCTCAGGAACCTGCCCTTTATTTGAGGCCCTTTTGCAGAACTGGCAAGACCTTATCGGACACCTGAAGAAGTCTCCGTGACCCACCATCCCTTGGAGACTGCCTCCTCCACCCGACACCAGATCTGTCAAGGGATCTTTTCCTCTCTTTCAGAAATGGGTCTACCGGGAGATCTCCAACTTCGAGTACCTCATGCAGCTCAACACCATCGCGGGCCGCACCTACAACGATCTCTCCCAGTATCCTGTGGTAAGTGCTTTTGAGACGGGAGTCCCCTTCCACTAGACACTCAAGGCCGGATTGAGCCAGCTTCCTTTCTGGACGTTATTTAAAACATTTTTGTGCCGCCTGTCCCGCGCATCAGGCTCCGTCAGGTGGTGAACATAATAATAATAATAAGAGATTGGATTTATACCCCGCCCTTCACTACCCGAAGGAGTCTCAGAGCAGCTGACAAACTCCTTTCCCTTCCCCTCCCCACAACAGACACCCTGTGAGGTGGGTGGGGCTGAGAGAGCTCTGGACAGAAACGGCTCTTTTTCCCCAAGAACAGCTCTTATCAGAACTATGGCTTGCCCAAGGCCAGCCAGCAGGTGGAAGTGGAGGAGTGGGGAATCAAACCGGGGTTCTCCCAGATTAGAGTCCGCACACTTAACCACTACACCAAAACATTTAAAACATTCAAAGCATTAAAGATAGAGTTGAGATTATAAAATAATTTAATTAAAACATAAGCAAACGACACTGGAAGGAGGGCCAGTTGCCATTACTGGGGGTATACCGATCAAAACAAAAAAACATAAGAAGAAAAGCTGTGTTGGATCAGGCCAACGTCCCATCCAGTCCAACACTCTGTATGACAGTGTGGCCAAAAAAACCCAGTGCCATCAGGAGGTCCACCAGCCAGGCAAGAACTCCAGAACCCCTCCCACTGTTTACCCTCCCCCAAGTGTCAAGAATACAGAGCATCCCTGCCCCAGACATAAGACATAAGAACATAAGAGAAGCCAGTGTTGGATCAGGCCAGTGGCCCATCCAGTCCAACACTCTGTGTCACACAGTGGCCAAAAATACCAGGTGCCACCAGGAGGTCCACCAGCGGGGCCAGAACTCCAGAAGCCCTCCCACTGTTACCCCCCAAGCACCAAGAAGACAGAGCAACACTGCCCCAGACAGAGTGTCCCATCTATACCTTGTGGCTAACAGCCACTGATGGACCTCTTCACCCACTGGCAAAAGACACCAATAGAGGGACGCAATCCCCCATGATATTTTTGTTAAGATTTGGGATTTTTCTGCAAAGCTATGGGGTCCCCCAAGTTTGCATAAAATCCTTTAGCGTCCATGTGGTACCGATCCACAGATTTAGCTATCCACAGTTGGGGGCCACACATGCCTAATAGTATATAGAGACCAGCACCTGTAATTAAGCCTGGAAGCAAATTGGAAGCCAGTGTGGATGGCACAAGACTGGAGCAATACACGGTTCCTACAGCCCACTCCAGTCAACACTCTGGCCTCTGCCTTCTGTAGCAGCTGTAGCTTCCAAACAGTCTTCAAGGGGCAGCCCCACGCGGAGCACATTGCAGCAGTCAAATCTAGCTGCAGTAATCTCATCTAGATGACCGTGTTTTTTCTCTCTATCTCAGAAGCTAAGCAGGGCTGACCCTGGCAAGTATTTGGATGGGAGACCTCCAGAGAATACCAGGGTCGGGATGCAGAGGCAGTCTACCCAGCCACTTCTCTGAACATCCTCCATGTGCCAGTAGGAGTCATCAGAGGTCAACACAGCTTAAAGATACGGACACACAAACACACAAATGTGAAGGGAAGAAAAGAAAGAAGATAAATCCAGGGTTGTTTTCTCTCTCTCTCTCTCTGTCCCTGTCCAGTTTCCATGGATCCTGAAGGATTACGTCTCGGAGACGCTGGATCTCAGCAACCCCGCTGTGTTCCGGGATCTTTCCAAGCCCATTGGGGTGGCCAACGAGAGGCACGCCAAGGATGTCAAAGAGAAGTGAGCGTCATGTTTCTTTGGGGGAGGAGTCAGGTTCCTGCCTTCCTTGATGCCCCGTCGTTGGCCCTCCAGAGGAGCTGGCTGGCCCCTGTGGGAGACAGGAGGCTGGACTGGATGGACCCTCCCTGGTCGGACCCAGCAGGGCTCTTCTGAGGTTCTTCTCAGGAGAAGGCCTCGGCCTCCCTGCCCTGTTCTTGGCCCTCCGGAGGAACTGGTTGGCCACTGTGTGAGACAGGAGGCTGGACTGGATGGACCCTCCCTGGTCGGACCCAGCAGGGCTCTTCTGAGGTTCTTCTCAGGAGAAGGCCTCGGCCTCCCTGCCCTGTTCTTGGCCCTCCGGAGGAACTGGTTGGCCACTGTGTGAGACAGGAGGCTGGACTGGATGGACCCTCCCTGGTCGGACCCAGCAGGGCTCTTCTGAGGTTCTTCTCAGGAGAAGGCCTCGGCCTCCCTGCCCTGTTCTTGGCCCTCCGGAGGAACTGGTTGGCCACTGTGTGAGACAGGAGGCTGGACTGGATGGACCCTCCCTGGTCGGACCCAGCAGGGCTCTTCTGAGGTTCTTCTCAGGAGAAGGCCTCGGCCTCCCTGCCCTGTTCTTGGCCCTCCGGAGGAACTGGTTGGCCACTGTGTGAGACAGGAGGCTGGACTGGATGGACCCTCCCTGGTCGGACCCAGCAGGGCTCTTCTGAGGTTCTTCTCAGGAGAAGGCCTCGGCCTCCCTGCCCTGTTCTTGGCCCTCCGGAGGAACTGGTTGGCCACTGTGTGAGACAGGAGGCTGGACTGGATGGACCCTCCCTGGTCTGATCCAGCAGGGCTCCTCTGATGTTCTTGTGGTGCTGGGTGCTACTCTGCATCCCATCCCAAGGCCCAGGCTGTCCTTTCATTCTCGTTCCCCCTCCGTTTCCTCAGGTACGAGAGCTTCGAGGACCCCACAGGCATGATCGACAAGTTCCACTACGGTACTCACTACTCCAACGCGGCCGGCGTCATGCACTACCTGATTCGCACCGAGCCATTCACGACCCTCCACATCCAGCTGCAAAGCGGGAGGTGAGCAGAAGGGGGCAGGCCCAGCGGGGGACTGTCCAGGAGCAACGTGGTTGAGGTTTTCGTCATCATTTATTTCTCATCATGGAGAGCCAGTTGGGTATTGTGGTTGAGTGCGCGGACTGTGATCTCGGAGAACCGGGTTTGATTCCCCACTCCTCCGCTTGCAGCTGCTGGATGACCTTGGGCAAGCCGTAGTTCTATCAGAGCTATTCTCTCAAGGGCAGTTCTTGAAAGAGCTCTCTCAGTCCCACCTGCCTCACAGGGTGTCTGTTGTGGGGAGGGGAAGGGGAAGGAGTTTGTAAGCCCCTCTGAGACCCCGATTGAAGGGCGAGGTATAAATCCAATCTCTTCTTCTTCTTATGTATGGATGCTGGGAATCTGAGGCAATTTTCACAGCGTTCTGCTGATGTCTTTCCTCACTCGGCCGTTTTCCTCATTAAAAGAAGAATCAAGACAAGCTGGGAGAACAAGTTTCTACCCATTTTGTGGAGAGGGAGGGAGACACCGGGTCATCTGCAGCGACTGGCTTTGGGACGGTCATCAGCAACCGAGTGTGGAACTAGGGAAACTGATTTGACTAAGACGGGTCCCCAACATTGTGCTCCTGGGCACCGTGGCACCCTCCACAACCTTTTATGGCACCCGCAAAGTGTTTTTGGAAGTAGGTGTGGCTATTGCCTAACAAGACTTCTGATTGGCCGCTGGAGTTCTGATTGGCGGCGCAGATCTTTTTGAGAGGATGCTTTGGTAGCCGCTGCCACCACAGCAGAGGGAACTTCCCTGTGCGGCTAAAGGTCAGCTGAGGCAGCCATTTTGTGCCTGCATCCACCATGCTATATCAGGATTCCAGCGATGCCTGGAGGCTCAAAAAGGTTAGGGAACCCCCGCTCTAAGACCCAGTACGTGGGCAGATGCTACAAACGGACAGCTTCTGACATACCTACTGTCAGACTCCTGGGTAAATCAGTCCCCAACAACATCCACTCTGGAGAATGATAGGTTTATTGAGACATTGATAGTATCCATACTGGACACTGGCTGTGTCAGAACTGAGGTTAAAGGCGCAAAAGCAAGAAATATACAAGGTTTGAGCAGGGGCCCTAAAAGACCCAGGACCAATCATCCCTTGGTATTCCACCCACCAAAAGCAACGGCCAGCAACCCCCCCTTACTATGCTTCCCCCCCCAATATGGAAAATGAAGCCGAACTGTGAAAGCTGAGACCCAAGGACCCCTGGGTTCTCAGCGGTGATAAGGATGCATGCTACTTCAAAGCAACCTGGCCAAAGCGAAAGTATTTCAGGTTCACACTCTCCCACACCCCCTCCTCGGTTGCTATGGCGAACGAGCTGTAATATGCCCGGCGAGTTTGGCACCTCCATTCCCACCCCCATTAAGTATGAAAGGATGCATCCCTCGTAAACAGTCCTCTGACAGTTAACTGAGGGCCGGCACCTTGACTCGTTGTGTCCGCCATCAGGTTTGACTGCTCTGACCGCCAGTTCCACTCCGTCCCCGCGGCGTGGCAAGCCCGCATGGAAAACCCCGTGGACGTTAAGGAGTTAATCCCGGAATTCTTCTACTTCACGGACTTCCTGGAGAACCAGAACGGTAAGGAGGTCGAAATGCTAGGCCGGGTCAGGCGGGCGGCCAAGGGCAGTGTCCACCCCTCGTATAGTCCAATGCTGGCGGGCATCCTCTGTGCCTGGAAGTATCCCGTCTCCCAGATGTGGAACCCGCTCTCTGTACTTCATGGCCGTTGACAAACCTACCCTACATGAAAGGCTCCCTCTAAGCTGTGGAGTCTTGTGGACAAAAATTCTACTTTGTGAGCTACCGGTGTTCAAGTTGTGAGTGATTTGGCTACTGCACGGGGGTCCAGTTTGCTCTGGAGCCCTTCTTCCTGAGCGAAGACAAAAATGTGTGAGCCGGAGGCTAAAGAACTGTGAGCTGGCTCACACTGACTAAGCTCAGAGTGAACACTGCCTACATGTCTTTCTTCAAAATGGGTTCTGTGACAGGGAGCCGTGGCTCAGTGGTAGAGCCTGTGCTTGGCCTGCAGAAGGTCCCCGGTTCAATCCCCAGTATCTCCAGTTAAAAGAACCAGGGAGTAGGTGATGTGAAAGACTTCAGCCTGAGACCCTGGAGAGCTGTTGCCAGTCTGAGTAGGTGATAATGATTATGATGGACCAAGGGTCTAGTTCAGTGAGAGTTCCGTTCAAAGGAGGGGCCGTGGCTCTATGGTAAAGCATCTGCTTGGCATGCAGAAGGTCCCAGGTTCAATCCCCGGCATCTCCAGTGAAAAGGACCGGGTAGGAGGGTTGGGAAAGACCTCCGCCTGAGACCCTGGAGAGCTATAAAGAGGGGCCATGGCTTAGTGGCAGAGCACCTGCTTGGTATGCAGAAAGATCCCAGGTTCGATCCCCGGCACCTCCAGTTAAAAAGGACCAGGCAGTAGGCGATGTGAAAGTCCTCCGCCTGAGATCCTGGAGAGCCACTGCCGGTCTGAGTAGAGAAGGCTGATCTTCTTAGACTAACGGTCTGAGTCCGTCGAAGGCAGCTGTGAGTTTCACAAATCGATTATACGTCGCGTGGCCATGCAATTTGGAAATGCCTCCGTGATGGGACAACGGTGAAGAGAGAGATCTGGTTTGGGTCCAGCGCATTGAGTGGCTACCTCTAATTCTCTTGTAGGTTTTGATCTGGGCTGTCTTCAGCTGTCGAATGACAAGGTGGGGGACGTGGTCCTCCCCCGGTGGGCAAAGTCCCCCGAGGACTTCATCCGCAAGCACAGGCATGCTCTGGTAAGGAGGGGTAACCCCACTCGTGGCATGGCCGTAGATGTCTGAGTTAAGATTTTATCCATGGAAGTGGTTCAGTGTGCGGACTCTAATCTGGGAGAACCGGGTTTGAGTCCCCACTCCTCCACTTGCACCTGCTGATGTGACCTTGGGTCAGTCACAAGCTCTGGCACAGCTGTCCTTGAAAAAGAGCAGTTTGTGTCAGAGTTCTCTCAGCCCCACCTACTTCCCAGGTTGTCTGTTGTGGGGAGGGGAAGGGAAAGGAGTTTGTAAGCCGCTCTGAGACACCTTTGGGTAGTGAAGGGCGGGGTATACATCCAATCTCCTCCTCCTCCTCCTCCTCCTCCTCCTCCTCTTCTTCTTCTTCTTCTTCTTCTTCTTCTTCTTCTTCTTCTTCTTCTTCTTCTTCTTCTTCTTCTTTTCACAAATACCTCCCCCTCCACACACCTCAGTGACCCCTGCTCCATTCCCAGAAGGTGACAAAAAAACCCTCCAGGAACTCAGCCAGACTGTCCTGGAGAGAAAATTGCTTCCTGACCTCAAAGTGGTGATCGGCATTTCCCTGGGGGTGTAAGAAAGGGCCACAAGAACTAAGCACTGAGGCAGCCCTTCCTGCCCTCCCTCTCATGATCTACCTAAGTTCACAGAATCCACATTGCTGTCAGATGGCCATCCGGCCTCTGCTTGAAAACCTCCCAAGAAGGAGAGCCCACCACCTCCCGAGGAAGCCCGTTCCGCTGGGGAACTGCTCCGACTGTCCAGAAGTTATTCCTCACGTTTAGCCAGAAACTCTTCTGATTTGATTTCAACCCTTTGGTTCTGGTCCGACCTTCTGGGGCAACAGAGAACAACGCCGCTTTTAGCAGCGATAAGCCACCAACCCAGGCATTTTCTCTCTCTCTCTCTCCCAGAGTGGGCTACCAGAATTGTGCAGTCCCCATTTTTTGTCCCTTGGAGAGTCAGATCGGAGAGGGGATTTACTCCAGCTCTAAGTTCCGCTTTCTTGTAAGACTGCATCCAGGGGCCATTTTGTAGGAAAAGAGGTGCAGGAGCTCATTAGCTTAACTCATTAGCATAACTCATTAGCATATGCCACGCCCCCTGACATCCCCGGAAGTGTGTCAGAAGGCAGCGCCCACCACTCAGGCTCCTCTGGACTGTTTTGGATTGCTAGCTATTGGGGGGGGGGAACGTGCAGATCTGTCCTCGCAGAGGAGGGAGAGCTTGTACCTGAATAAAACTTGGTCTCAAAGGTGCCACTGGACTGTTTTGGAACGGGGGGCTGGGGGGGGGGCTCTGCAACTTACCTGGCTGCTTCTTGCTCTGACTGAGGGCTGCTGGGAGCAGGGGGCGGGGCTTGTTGCATGTGCCCGCCCCCTGGGCTCTTTACTGCCGGAGCTCCGCTCCTGTGCGCTCCTGCAGGGAATGACCCCTGAGTGCATCTATTTGGGGGAGGGGTGCACGGTGTATAGGCCAATCTAATTGGATCTCGGAAGCTAACCAGGGTTGGAACGCGGAAAGGAGACTGCAGAAGAAGTGGCCAACCACCCCTGCTTCTCGCTGGCCCGGAGAGCCCCTCTCTGGGGTCACCCTAATTCGGCTGCTACTTGACCTCACTTTACACACACGCACATGCACACATATCGGTTTGGGGATTGGGAAGGTGGGCTGACCCGAGTGTGGCTGACATCACATCCTGCCTCGTGTCTCCGGTAGGAATCGGAGTACGTCTCCGCCCATCTCCACGAATGGATCGATCTCATCTTTGGGTACAAGCAGAGAGGCCCAGCAGCCGTGGAGGCGCTGAACGTCTTCTATTACTGCACCTATGAAGGTGAGACGGCGAGTGTTTTACCTGCGCTGTGAATCCCTTCCACCATATTATACGACTCAGCTGGGGCAGGGGAGTGCCTGGTCTGAGCTTTGTAACAAAGTGGGGATTCGAACCTGGGCCTCCCAAGTGGTGGCTCAAGTGGTTAAGACTTTGAAAGTGCAGGATGGAAGGTCAGTCGTTCGGCAGTTCACGACCCGAGTGCGCCGCATGACGAAGTGAGCTCCCGTCTCTGGCCCCAGCTCCTGCCAACCTAGCCGTTCGAAAGCAAGAAATTGCAAGTAGATAAATAGGTACCGCTTCGGTGGGAAGGCAACAGCGTTCCGTGCGCCTTGGTGTTTAGTCATGCCGGCCACATGACCATGGAGTAGTCTTCGGACAGCGCTGGCTCTTCAGCTTGGAAATGGAGATGAGCACCGCCCCCTAGAGTCGGATTTGACTGGCTTTCGAGCCAGGGAAAACTTTTACTCCCAAATCCCAGTCTGGCTCTCTTCACCAGCTTGCATCTTACGGATGTTTTTTTTTATATATATGCTTCTAGTTGCCTTGGGCTTCAATAAGAAAAGGTTGCTTTGAGTCCAGTTGCACCAAGAGACCAACAAGATTTCCGGGGTGAGCTTTTGAGAGTCTGCCAAAGGGACGTATCTGACGAAGGGCGTTTCGACTCTTGGACTTTCGTGCCCGAAAATCTTGCTGGTCTCCGAGGTGCCGCTGGACTCAAATTCTGTGAAAATTTGGGAGCTGTTTTATCGGACCAAACTAGGAAGCAGGAAGATTAAATGCAATATGGGTTGATTGTGTTCGGTCGCGGTAACTGTTTCTGAAGAAGAACGGTGGAAACGGGATATTACGGGTGCCCCGTTAACAGGATCACCTTGTCTCCATCGACATCGGACTTTATTGCTTTCTTGGGACTAGGAGCAATGTTCCCTCTAAGCTGTGGAGTCTTGTGAACAAAAATTCTACTTTGTGAGCTACTTGCATTAAAGTTGTGAGTGAACAATTGGGCTACTGCATAATGTAGTTTGTTCTGGAGCCATCCTTCCTGAGCTAGGAAAAAAATGTGTGAGCCGGAGGCTAAAAAACTGTGAGCTGACTCACACTAACTCAGCTTAGAGGGAACACTGACTGGGAGGTGTTTTCAAGATTGAACTGACACCAGAGAGACTTCGTATAATATTCTTCATTCAGATTGGAACATTTGATAACAAAATTTAGTTATTTTTATACGTTCTTTGTTATTATATTCATGGGTTTCTGGTCTTTTGTTAGTTTTTCCATACTGTCAATCTCCACTTTTTACTTGGATGCAAGCATGTTAGCAAAATGACTATGAGTTTCCTTCATTCCCCTCGTCTCTTGAAATGTTTTATCTGAACATTTAATCTCACCGTGGTCTGGCAATTACTTTCACAAGAACTCAAACACACCCAGCATCGTTTGACCAGTGGGAGAAAGGGGAGCCGGTGTGCAGGCGATCAAGGTCTCCCCCAAAGGCAAGGTAAAGGTAAAGGTTTCCCTGGCTCAAAAGCTAGTCGAATCCGACTCTAGGGGGCGGTGCTCATCTCCGTTTCCAAGCCGAAGAGCCACCGCTGTCCGAAGAAGTTTTCGTGGTCATGTGCTAGCATGACCCCACTGGTGGACCTCCTGATGGCACTGATATTTCAGGCCACTGTGTGACACAGAGTGTTGGACTGGATGGGCCATTGACTTGATCCAACATTGGCGTCTCTTATGTTCTTATGACTAAATGCCGAGGCACATAGAACGCTGTTACCTTCCCACCGAAGCGATACCTATTTATCCACTTGCAATTTCCTGCTTTCGAACTGCTAGGTTGGCATGAGCTGGGGCCAGAGACGGGAGCTCACTCCATCACCCGGCACTCGGGTCTCAAACTGCCAAACTACAGACCTTCCGGTCTGCAGCTCAGCATCTTAACCTCTTACCCACCGCAGCCCCAAAGGCAAGTGAGAGGCAAACACTGACCAGGGGCAGGTGCCAGAAAGAAGGGTCGATCCCTGCTAAATAGGGACCTTTGAATAAATGGACCTCCAAATACCATAAAAACTTCTCAGTCAAAGTATGGAAGAAAATAAGGGAGAAATTTTATAACAAAACACCTAAATGGGTCTCACCGTTGGAAGCGTTTATTATGCCAACAATGTTAACCAAAGAAAAAATCCAACCATATGAAAATTTATTAGACGAAAATAACAATCTTAAAGACGTCGAAGCAATACAAAAAGACATTAATTTAACAATATGGGAGACAAACCAATTAATATCTAGATTTAGCAAAGGTAAAAAATGGGGATTTTACAGAAACAAAAACGAACTTGATAAAATATGGCTCTCAACGAGCGACAAAGCAATTCAAAAGTTATATAATTTTTTTCCTAGAGGACCTCACAGCAGAAGAAAATACCAAAAAAGTAATGCTAAAATGGATGCAGGATTTGGGTCATGATACACCAAGAGAAGATTGGAATAAAACATGGAGGTCAATTAAATTCTTGAAAGCCACATCCTATAAAGAAAATATTATCAAAATGTACTATAGATGGTACTGGTCACCAGATAGGGTGGCAAAATGTTCCTCTAATCTGTCCAAGAATTGTTGGAGATGCAGAGATAATGTGGGTTCATTTATACACATGTGGTGGAACTGTGAAAAGATATATACGTTTTGGAAAGAGGTTCAAAAATTAATAGTAGAAATATTAACTATTCATCTAGATCTAACTCCAGAAGTATATTTATTGAATATGATGCCAGGCAATTTAAGTACAAATGAAAAATATTTGCTGACATATATTGTAACGGCAGCAAGAATTTTAATTGCTAAATATTGGAAGTCAAGTAAACTGCCTACAAAGCAAGAGTTAGAATACAAACTGTTAGAAGTAGCGGAAATGGATAGTCTAACAATGATATTACATGGTAAAGATAAAAATGTATTTAAAGATAGATGGTCTAGAGTTTATGGATGGTTAAAAGAAAGGAAGAAAAAATGGACAAAAGGTATATACGTAAAACACTGGGCTGTAACTGTGTGGAAAAACTAAATAAAATGTGTGGGGGGGGGAACTTCTCAGTCAATCAATAAGCAGATTACAAAGTATGATGACATCAGTCGATCAGTAACTGGATTGCTAGGTAGGAGAACAGCACTCGAATCTGACAGCAAAGTTACGGGTAAAACCAAATAATGCTGAGATTGTAGAATGAAGAGTGGAAACCCAAGAATACCACATGCAAATGTATCTACTTAAGACAGTGGAGGAAAGACTTTGGGCTTACCTGCTTTCTTACTTTCCTCACTTGCGAGTCCCTGTTTTTTCAGGGGGGGGGTCCGTTCTGCATATGTTTTGCCCCCCCTAGTGGCCGATTCGATATTACAGTGGTTTATGTCTGACATAAATTGGTGTAATATCAAGTCGGCCTTTAGAGGGAGCAAAACACAGGCTGAACAGAGAAAAAAACAAAACGGAAGAAACCGAAGGGACTCGCGAGCAAAACAAAACTCACGTCAAGCATATGCATTCTCTCCTCCTTTCCTTTCAGGGGCAGTCGACTTGGACGCAATTGCTGACGAAACCGAGAGGAAGGCTTTGGAAGGCATTATCAGCAATTTTGGTCAGACCCCGTGCCAGCTGCTGAAGGTAAGAGGAGTTGGCGAGGACCACCGACAGCGTGTCAGGAAGAAGCACAAGAATCTTGCGTGCAAATCTTGCCCAGAGAGCAGCAGCATACAGTGTTCCCTCTAAGCTGAGTTAGTGTGAGCCAGCTCACAGTTTTTTAGACTCCGCCTCACGCATTTTTGTCTTAGCTCAGGAAGGACGGCTCCAGAGCAAACTAATTTATGAAGCAGCCAAATCACTCGCCCACAACTTTAGTACAAAGTAGAATTTTTTCTCACAAGACTTCACAGCTTAGAGGGAGCATTAGTCATAACCCAGACAGCCATTGACGTTGCTATAGTCCAGAGATTTTACTTTATTTTTAATTTATTTAAAATGTCTATTAGCTGCCTTTCTACCTTATACAACAAAGAATCAATGGACATCAGTCCAACATTAGAAACCACAACATTCAAAAATCAGCAAGGGAACATTTTAACTTTCCAAAACATTCCGTTGCTGACCTAAGAGTAGCAGTTCTCTTACAAAAGAATTTCAAGATTAGAAAGAGAGACTGCTGAATTGCAACTGGTAATGAAGCTCAAGACCATGCATCCTCCTGGACTGAATCAAGACTCAGGTTTCCTGTCTCATTACCGATGCTGATTTCTCCACGCCTGTTATCCCTTGGCATATCACACCTAATCCAATCACGGCTCCTATTGTCATTCACCTGCTATTGTCATTCGGCATCTGAAACCACTCCACTCTCCAAGGTATAAGGACAGATGGACTCACGTTCTAGCTGTATCTGAAGAAGTGAGCAGTGACTCACAAAAGCTGATATCCTACCACAATTTTTTTAAGTCTTTATGGAGCTACTGGACTCTTGCTCCTTTCTATTTCTACCATATAGGATCTCAAGGCAGCTTACAATGTAAATCATAATAAAGTACAATAAAATACACAAAATATTATTTACTTAATTCATTTGTACCCTGCCTTTCTCCCGAGTGGGGGAACCCCGATTGGCTTACATCGTTCTTCTCCCTTTTACCCCCACAACCACCTTCCTAAGATCCAGCCTATGAAAAATCCTCCTTTTCTCTTAGTGTGTTCCCACAATCGGTTGTGAGAATTCTGTTTGCCTCTCCAACGCCGTTTGGTTCCGAACATGGGCCGTGCAGGGCGGAAATTAGGCGAGTCATTCAGAATCAAATACTTATAAAAAAAAAAACAGTCTCCCAGCAAGGGCCAAGTTAAAGTTTCTGTAGCAGCCAGTGCTCCAATTACAGCCCTTAATCCTGTGTTATGGGAGGGGTCATGGCTCAGTGGCAGAGCCTCTGCTTGGCATGCAGAAGGTCCCAGCGTTCAATCCCCGGCAGCACCAGTCAAAAAGGACTAGGCAGGAGGTGATGGGAAAGACCTCAGCCTGAGACCCTGGAGAGCTGTAAAGAGGGGCTGTGGCTCAGTGGCAGAGCCTCTGCCTGGCATGCAGAAGGTCCCAGGTTCAATCCCCAGCATCGCCAGCTAAGAGGACCAGGCAGGAGGTGATGGGAAAGACCTCAGTCTGAGTCCCTAGAGAACAGCTGTCAGTCCGAGTAGGCAATACTGCTACTGATGGATGAATACCCTGATTCAGTATAAGGCAGCTTCATGTGTGTGTGTCCCCCTTTTTACGTCTCTAGGAGCCCCACCCAGCCCGCCTGTCAGCCGAAAACGCCGCGCAGAGACTCGCTCGGTTGGACACCACGTCCCCCAACGTGTTTGAGAATCTCAGTCAGCTCAAATCCTTCTTTGTGGAGGTAAGGTCCGTTGGGGAAGGTGCCCGTCGTCACCCATCTAGCCCCTGCTGGCCCCTGTTTGAGACAGGAGGCTGGACTAGATGGACCCCCACTGGTCTGATCCAGCAGGGCTCTTCTGACGTTCTTATCAGGGGAAGGCATTGGCCTGTCTGCCCTGTTGTTGGCCCTCCAGAGGAACTGGCTGGCCCCTGTGTGAGACAGGAGGCTGGACTAGATGGACCCTCCCTGGTCTGATCCAGCAGGGCTCTTCTGGTGTTCTTCTCAGGGGAAGGCCTTGGCCTCTCTGCCCTGTCGCTGGCCCTCCAGAGAGGAACTGGCTGGCCCCTGTGTGAGATGGGAGGCTGGACTGGATGAACCCTCACTGGTCTGATCCAGCAGGGGTCTTCTGAAGTTCTTCTCAGGGGAAGGCCTCGGCCTCTCTGCCCTGTTGTTGGCCCTCCAGAGGAACTGGTTGGCCCCTGTGTGAGATGGGAGGCTGGACTAGGTGAACCCTCCCTGGTCTGATCCAGCAGGGCTCTTCTGAAGTTCTTCTCAGGGGAAGGCCTTGGCCTCTCTGCCCTGTTGTTGGCCCTCCAGAGGAACTGGCTGGCCCCTGTGTGAGACGGGAGGCTGGACTAGGTGAACCCTACCTGGTCTGATCCAGCAGGGCTTTTCTGAGGTTCTTAAGTCTGTGTGTCCTTCTCTCTCCTTCCCCTCCTCCCTCTCTAGGGCATCAGTGATGGGATTCCGCTTGTGCAGGCCGTGGTCCCCAAGAACCAGGCCCACTCTTTCATGACTCAGGGATCTCCCGACATGCTGGTAACTACCCTACCGCTCACAGTGTCTTCCCCTCCCAGCCCTTGAAGCGAAAAACGCGTTGGCCGAGTGGTGGTGGCCTCTCCTCGCTCCAGGAGAGCATCAAGCTTAGGTTCTGTTTGCCTTTATGCCTCCCGTCCGACGAGCTGACGCCGTTCCCCCCCCCCTCCCTTCCAGGTCACTGTCAGCGCCAACGGGCTGCTCGGGACCCACGGCTGGCTGCCCTACGACAAGAACATCTCCAATTATTTCAGCTTCACCAAAGACCCCACGGTCTCCAACTCCAAGTGAGTCGGCCCGCCCTCTCCAACCCTGCTCCACCCAAAGCGCTTGCTCCCTTTACCGTCTTCTCTCTGCCCCATGACATGGGGGTCCTCAACCTTTCCGAGACTGTGGCCGTCAGTGGAATTCTGAACACCGGGTGGTGGGCGCAACCACAAAATGGCTGCCAGAAGAGGCGGGGCCAACCTCAAAATGTCAGGAAGAAGAAGAGAAGAGATGGGATTTATACCCCGCCCGTCACTACCCGAAGGAGTCTCAGAGCGGCTTACAGACTCCTTTCCTTTCCCCTCCCCACAACAGACATCCTCTGAGGTAGGTGGGGCTGAGAGAGCTCTTTTGAGGACTGCTTGTGAAAGAATAGCTCCGAAAGAACTTGTGACTGACCCAAGGTCACACCATCAGGTGCAAGTGGAGGAGTGGGGAATCAAACCCGGTTCTCCCAGATTAGAGTCCACGCACTTAACCACTACCCCAGACTGGCTCTCACCAAACTGGAAGTGAATTCACGCATAACTATAATAGTAACTCTTCGGCATTTCAGGTTTAGTGGGGTGCCTTTTAAACTGAAAGCCCGTTTGGTGTAGTGATTAAGAGCAGTGGAGAATAATCTGGGAGAACCAGGTTTGATTCCCCACTCCTCCACTTGCACCTGATGGTGTGACCTTGGGTCAGTCACAAGTTCTTTCGGAGCTGTTCTTTCACAAGCAGTCCTCAAAAGAGCTCTCTCAGCCCCACCTACCTCAGAGGATGTCTGTTGTGGGGAGGGGAAGGGAAAGGAGTTTGCGAGCCACTCTGAGACTCCCTTGGGTAGTGAAGGGCGGGGTAGAAATCCAATCAGTTTGGTGTGGTGGTTAAGTGCGCGGACTCTAATCTGGGAGTACTGGATTTGATTCCCCCACTCCTCCACTTGCATCTGGCTGGATGACCTTGGGCAAGCTGTAGTTCTGTCATAGCTGTCCTTGAAAAAGAGCAGTTTCTGTCAAGAGCTCTCTCAGCCCCACCTGCCTCACAGGGTGTTGTCTGTTGTGGGGAGGGGAAGGGGAAGGTGTTTGTAAGCCGCTCTGAGACTTCTTCGGGTAGTGAAGGGCGGGGCATAAATTTAATCTCTTCTTCTTCTTCTTCTCTTGAACATATTGTTTAAAATACTTCCTTGCATACACAGAGTTTGCCTGCAGCCATCCAATTGTGAGCCTCGGGCCGCACGGCCAATCAGAAGGCATGCCGAGCGAAAGCCTCACCTGGCCCCGCCCACATTCTAAAAACACTTGGGGATGCCAGGAAATGTGTTGGGGGTGGGCACGTGGCACCCCAGGCACCACGTTGGGGACCCGTGCCCTAACAGGAGCATTTTCTACTTCCTTGCTTGCTCACGCCAGGACCAAGCGCTACCTGTACGGCCCCTTTGCGCCTGGGGCGGACTTGTCCTTCAAGACCCTCGCCATTTCCCACGACGGGAAGCTCCTCTTCAGCGGGGGACACTGGGACAGCAGCCTGCGCGTCACCTCGCTGAGCAAAGGGAAGGTCGTGGGGCACATCAACAGGCACATAGGTAGGTGTGGGGAACAGGGTTGCTGGGAGGTGTTTTATTTAATTTATTGATGTGTTTATTTATCTCTCAAATTTCTTCCCCGCCCTCCCAGCCAGAGCCGGCTCAGGGCGGCCTACGTAAAAACGGATAAATTACATTACATAAATTACATTTAAAGGTAAAGGTTTCCCTTGCTCGAAAGCCAGTCGAATCCGACTCTAGGTGCTCATCTCCGTTTCCAAGCCGAAGAGCCAGCGCTGTCCGAAGATGTTTCCGTGGTCATGTGGCCGGCATGACTAAACACCAAGGCGCACGGAACGCTGTGACCTTCCCACCGAAGTGGTACCTATTTATCTACTTGCAATTTCTTGCTTTCGAACTGCTAGGTTGGCAGGAACTGGAACTAGAGACGGGAGCTCACTCCGTCATGCGGCACACTTGGGTCTCGAACAGCTGAACTACCGACCTTCCACAGCCTGCAGTTCAGCGTCTTAACCACTTGAGCCACCGCAGCTCCCTAAAATTACAGTTTAAACCATTCTAAAACCATAATAAAGCGCTAGTCGTCATCATCGTTCAAAGAGCCCCACCTACCTCACAGGGTGTCTGTTGTGGGGAGAGGAAAGGGAAAGGAGATTGTGAAGGGCGGGGTATAAATCCAATCTCCTCCTTCTCCTCCTCCTCTTCTTCTTCTTCTTCCTCTTCTTCCTCTTGTTCTCTGCAGCAGTCCTTTGGCTCCTTAGAGAGAAACAGATTCATTCCAGCATAAACCCTCTTGGACTAGAGCTACACTTCTCCATTGCAGCAAAGAAACTGGCTGTCCTCCATGAAAGCAAAGGCTGAAATAAAGCAATGTTTGTCTCTAAAGTGCCGCAAGGCTCCTGTTGGTTTGGACAGCCAGACAGCTAGCGGCCCTTTGGAAACCCAAAAGCAGATCACTCTACAGAAGCCGTGACACAGATAAAGTTCTGGTTGACCACAAGCTAGCCATGAGCCTGCAGGGCGATGTGGCTGCGAAAAAAGCAAATGCAGTCTTAGGATGCATGAACAGAAGCATTATGTCCAGATCATGGGAGGTGGTCGTTCCGCTCTATTCTGCTACGGTCAGGCCTCAGCCAGGGGTCATTTTGTAGAAAAAGAGGTGCAGGAGCTCATTAGCATAACTCATTAGCATAACTTATTTGCATGTGCCACACCCCCTGATATCACCGGAAGTGTGTCAGAAGGCAACACCCACCGCTCAGGCTCCACTGGACTCTTTTGGATTGCTAGCTATTGGGCGGGGGGACGTGCAGCTCTGTCCTCACAGAGGAGGGAGAGCTTGTACCTAAATGAAACTTGATCTTAAAGGTGCCACTGGACTGTTTTGGGCTGGGGGGGAGCTCTGCAGCTTACCTGACTGCTTCTTGCTCTGACTGAGGGCTGCTGGGAGCAGGGGGCGGGGCTTGTTGCATGCGCCCGCCCCCTGGGCTCTTTACTGCCGGAGCGCCGCTCCTGTGCACTCCTGCAGGAAATGACCCCTGGGCCTCACCAACTCTAACATTCTATGATTCTGGTAGGGATGGCTTTGAAAGGGGACTGGATTGGGGGGGGGCAGTTTCTAAGTGGCTACTAGCCATGGTGGCACAAGGCCGTCGATCTCTGCATAATCACTGCTCGAGAGTAACATCAAGGGAAGGCCTCAGCCTGCATGCCCTGTTTTGCTGCCCCTGCTAACAGTCCGCTGGACTAGATGGTCCACAGGTCTGATCCAGCAGGGCTCTTCTTACCTTCTCGGTAGGGAGTCTCCATAAGAATTCCCTGCTGGGTCACACCACTGGTCTATCCAGCTGAGCATACTGCTTCACACATCAGCCAACCGGTTTTCCTGGAAAAATTGTAGTGCAATAAGACTGCGAAGAAAGCTAATGCAATCTTAGGATGCATTCACAGAAGAAGCATTGTGTCCAGATCAAGGGAGGTGGTCATTCCGCTCTATTCTGCTATGGTCAGGCCTCACCTGGAGTCCTGTGTCCAGTTTGGGGCACCACATTTGAGGAAGGATGTTGATAAGCGCGAGCGTGTCCAGAAGAGGGCAACCGGGATGGTGAGAGGGTTGGAATCCAAGTCTTACGAGGAAAGGCTGAAAGAGTTGGGTATGTTTAGCCTGGGAAAGAGAAGGCTTAGAGGGGACATGATTGCAGTCTTCAAGTATTTGAAGGGCTGTCATGTAGAAGATGGAGCAGATCTATTCTCTCTTGCTCCGGATTGCAAGACAAGATCTATTGGGTGGAAATGACAAGGGAGTCGATACTGGCTAAATATCAGGAGAAATTTCCTAACTGTAAGAGTGGTTGAGCAGTGGAACAGTCTGCCTCGGGAGGTGGTGGAGGCTCCTTCGCTGGACGTTTTCAAGCGGAGGCTGGACGACCATCTCTCGGGTATGTTGTAGGCAATGTTCCCTCTAAGCTGTGGAGTCCTGTGAGCAAAAATTCTACTCGGTGAGCTCCTGGCATTAAAGCTGTGAGTGATTTGGCTTCTGCATAAATTAGTTTGCTCTGGAGCCCTCCTTCCTGAGCTAAGGCAAAAATGTGTGAGTCAGAGGCTAAAAAACTGTGAGCTAGCTCACCCTAACTCAGCTTAGAGGGAACACTGGTTGTAGGGCTGTCTTTCGGCGATGCTCCTGCAGAGCCCCTTACAACTCTTAACATTCTATGATGGTCGCAGCCATGATTCAGAGTTCTCAGCTCGCAGTCAGCTCGCAGTGCTCGTTTTATCAGGACTTGCAGTGCTTGATGCTCTGTAGCCTGTTGGGGGCAATTCCCAAAATCCGGGGCCCTCTCCCATTCGGCCATCCGTGGTTCATCCTCGGTGGTGGTGGCGGCGGCTCCCGAAAGCCCGGCGGAAGAGCTCCATTTTACAAGCCCTGAGGGAGGAGCATGGTTCCCTGGGTGGTCCGGGGGGGGGGGCACTGCTCACCTTCCGTGCTGCTATTCCCTGGGAACTAGAGACGGGAGCTCACTCCATCATGCGGCAACTCGGGTCTCGAACTGCTGAACTACCGACCTTCCACAGCCTGCAGTTCAGCGTCTTAACCACTTGAGCCACCGCAGCTCCTAAGGAGCAACCTGGCATCTCTGGATGAGTTTCAGATGGAGTGGAACCGAGAAGCACAGTAGAGTCACCTGTTAAGAACATAAGAACATAAGAGACGCCAATGTTGGATCAGGCCAGTGGCCCATCCAGTCCAACACTCTGTTGTCACACAGTGGCCAGAAATACCAGGTGCCCTCAGGAGCCCTCCCACTGTTTACCC